TTTTTGCTGGCAGAGGGTTGCAGGAGCCCGTTGCAGCCGAAAACGGAGCTTGGGAGCCTGTTTTCTCTGACAGAGTGCTCAGGCCTCGAACGGCGCCCCCGACACAAGTGACATGGATCTGGCAACACCCATCCCAGTCATGCCCACCCCAGCCCCCAAAATCAAACACAACTCTGATGCGGCCCTCAGTGAAATTGTGTTTGACACCCCTGATTTAAAATAAGATAATATTCCATGCTTAAATGTAATTTTAAACTTGGGCCTCTGAGTTTTATTCCACTATTCGAGCTACTAATTCTATTGTTTCTATTGCAGAGAAAAGAAGAGTCAGAGGTCAAAAAGGCACAGAAAATGGACGAGGAAAGAGATATTCCTATAAATTACCTCAAGACTATAACGTGGAGACTGTAGTGGTTGCAGATCCAGCAATGGTTTCCTATCATGGAGCAGATGCTGCTAGGAGATTTATTTTAACTATTTTAAATATGGTAAGAAAATGTAGGTCTTTTCAGCAAAATAATACTTTAAAGTTTAAATATAACTTACTTAAAATGAAGAATATAGCCTAATAATGAGCTTGTAATAGAAAAGATGGGAAATCATAGCTAATACTTTTACATTGGCACTAAGACAAGATCCAGCACAAAGTCATCTCATAAAGTCCACTGTTAGTTTGGAATGTATAGATCATAAAAAATAGCCAGTTTTTTCTCCTACTATCCAGACTTATTATTATTGCCATATGTATTAAGAAAAAAATTGAATCCAGTATCTTATTCTACTATTGCAAATATAAAATTCTATATATTGTTTGATAAGAATATAATGAAACTGAACTGAGATGCCGATGATGCTAATGTCTCACTGAGTATATGAAGAAAATATTACAAACATAAACTATACATGTTTTGTGTAGAATCCTGAATAGATTGTCATGTTGTAATTATTTGGGAAAACATTGAAAACAACTCAGTATTCCAGAGTTTCAAGAAGCTGCCTCAAACAATCTGTGATTTGTCATATTATTAATTTTTACATTACTGTATTTCTTTTGTTTTCAGGTATTTAATCTTTTCCAGCACAAGAGCCTTGGAGTCCAAATGAACCTTCGGGTGACTAAGCTTGTTCTGCTTCATGAGACTCCAGTAAGAAAGTACTGTATTTATCTCTTCCATGTACACTAAAAAAGGCAAACATTGATACAAGAACTTGCAATTGTCAATGGCCTAAAGTAAAAGTGAAACCAAAGGGAAAATCTGACCTTTTCTAAAGAATAAAATGACCTTACTTAAAGAATAAAAATATTGCCTTTAAGCAATTTGAGAGAGGGTCAAAAGGGGGGAAATTTCATAGCATGGCTGCATTTCCCAATACCTGATATAGTTGAAAAGTAACCTTTACATCACTGTTTGACCCATCTTTCATATACAGTGATTTAAACCAGTCAATTCTCATTTTGAGTTAGCTTTTTTTGTTTGTTCTCATTGATGGAATAATATATCAACAGCTGTACCATTCAATTTAGCGGATGTTCTTTCCTAGGAGATTATATATATATATATATATATATATATATATATATATATATATAT